GGCCGGCCCTCCACCCCGTCTCCCTCTCGGTGGCGGGGGAAGGGGAGCGCAGGTTCCGGCCAGCCTTGCGCTTTTCTCCTCCTCCTCTTCTCCCTTGCTCCGCTTCCCCTCCTCCCACCCTCCTCTTGACCATCTCGGGAGAGGCTGGGCTCCTCTTGGGGCGCCCCCTTTCTTTCCCTCCACCTGGGTGGGCGGGGGCCGGCGGACACCAGCTCTCCCTCTAGTGGGAACTCCCCGGAGAGAGTCGGCTCTCGTCCCTCTTGGCTTCTCCCCCGAGGGCCCATTTAACCCCCCAAACTCCTTCCTGCCAGGAGGCAGATTTGCTCCTCCCCCGTGGGAGGGGGGGGTCCTCCTCCATTCTCGCTTTGGGGGACTAAGTCGGCTCACCTCCACTTTGGAGAGTAGAGGGTTAATTTCTCCTCCCCATAGTTTTTCTCTCTCCGTCTTCTCCATCCTAACACCACCCTCCCTCCCTCTCTTCCTCTCCCCCCCCCCATAGAAAAGCATCTCCCCACTTTTTCAGTCCCTTCCCCCTTCATCTTGGCAGCCAGGCTTAGGGGAAGGAGAAGTCGCCCTCCCATCTGCCGGGTGGGGTGGTTAATATGTAGGCTGGAGGAGGGGCTCCGACGCAGGGGAAACAGTTGAAGAGGTGCTTGTTGCTCATGTTTCTCTCCGGTGCCGCTGGTCTATTATTGGTGTTTGCAAGTGGTGCTGCTTCCACAGAAGGCCACCGCGCGGGCGCAGGGCGCATGCTCCGCCCGGCCCCATTGAAACTTCCTGCTGCTGCTGGGTCTTCGCTGGAGCATCTCAGCGTTTGCGCCCGCTGCCTCTAGCCCGCACACAGCGCGCACACTCTCTCCCTAGTTATTTCCGATGCGTGCCTTTTTTTTCCCCTTTTCTTTCTGGCACATTTCTTCCCTCAGAGAAGGGTTTTTTGTTGTACTCTGATCATTGCCTTTATCTGGGCACGGCCCTTGGCTGGAGAAGAAACGTTTTCCAAATAGATCTTTTTTTTTTTTTGGTCTGTATTCGATGGCCAGAGTGGACTGGGTATTGTACAAGACAGCTGTTTCTCTTCCATCTTCAATTCTCCATAGAAATGAAGTTTCTGTTAACTCTATATTTACATTGTTAGGAAGGGCCCAATTGTGAAGTTCTTTAAAATATTACCTATAGAGAAAATGATGTTATGTTACCAGGGACCCAAATAAATACAGTAGTTATGGTGCAGGCTTATATTTCTTCTTTCTTACCGAAATCATCTCTACTCTCTGGCACATAAAAGGCTAATTTTTTATATAATATAAAATAGGAGGGTGACTAGTTACATTAAGACTTTATATAAAGGCTTCCTATAGAATTTCTTTAAAACTTAAGTCCTCCAATATAGTAATTTAATTAGGTTGTATTTGCATTTAATTTCTAAGGAATTGGTCATTTTGAGTTAGAATGCCTTAGTAATTTGCTTTTAGGATACCTTGGGAAATGATAATAATCTATCAGAGGGAAAATGTGGGAATTTGGGGAAAGGGATTGCTGATAAATTGTTTTTGGAATATACTTTGACCAAATTTAAAGACAGGGATAGACCTCTGTGATGTTATTGTATTTTGCCCCTCCATTCCTTTTAAGTATTTTGGCAACTACATTTGGCTTATATTAATAACAAGATAAAAAAAATCAGAATCAGTTTAATATTTCATGTTATCTTTCTATTTAGAATTGAACCATGAGACACCAGCTAAGTAAAAAATGGGAAATAATATGGGCTGAAAGATTATACCAGTGGGCTCAGCCACTGTATTTCCAACTATAATATGTCTTGTCATAAGGTGACCTAACAATAATTATTAATATTACACAATTCAGGATACTTGGCAAATGAAAAGTCTCTGCAGGTGAAATGCCATTACTGTGCACGGCAAAGATTGTCATTTTCAGGCCTTTGGTGATGGTTAACCTACTTGAAATAGTTGATGAAACAATACTGGTCCAACCAACAAGATTTGAATTGAGTCTTTCTGGAAGGAGTTATGTATTAGAAAGAATTAAAAGATATGTGTTTTAGTGTTGAACTGTGTAATATGTGGGTTGTAGTACAAATTACTTAATTTGAATTAAAAGATATGGGTTTTAGTGTTGAACTGTGTAATATGTGGGTTGTAGTACAAATTACTTAATTTGAATTAAAAGATATGGGTTTTAGTGTTGAACTGTGTAATATGTGGGTTGTAGTACAAATTACTTAATTTCTGTGAACCTCAGTTTCTTCAGTAAATTGAAATAATTTCAGGATCTAATGAAATGTTTCAAAAATCCTTTCGGCTGGGTCGCTCAGTTAGTTAGAATGTCTTCCTGATACACGAAGGTTGTGGGTTCGATCCCCTGTCAGGGCACATATAAGAATCAACCAATGGCCCTAGCTGGTTTGGCTCAGTGAATAGAGCATATCTGCCTGCGGACTGAAGGGTCCCAGGCTCGATTTCTGCCAAGGACACATGCTCAGGTTGCAGACTCTATCCCCAATAGGGGGCGTGCAAAAGGCAGCTGTGGATGATTCATCATTGATGTTTCTATCCCTTTCCCTTTCTCTGAAATCAATAAAAATATATTTTAAAAAAAGAATCAACAAACAAATGGGTGGAACAACAAATTGATGTTTTTTCTCTCTCCCTCCTCTAAAGTCATTCAATAAATTAAAAATGAAAAACAAAAAGAATTCTTCATTCAAAACTCCTTTCATGAACCACGCACCTACAGATATTCTTGTATTATAAATTTTATTACAGATGTTTGTGAGATAGAAGACACACAGGTGTATTTGGAATTAAAATGATAAATTTTTAGCATGTGAGAAAGTGGTTTGAGCAGATATGTTGAGCTATTATGCTCTTGATGAAAAAGTCTGTTATAGTCAGATGAGTTTTGCTCTTTATAAATTTAAGTATTTTTAAAACGCAGTTCTTAATGCTGTTTAAAGGGTCCTAGTTTCCTAGGGTGGTTATCCCTTGAAAGGCACTTTTTTTTGTAATCCTCATTCGAGGATATTTTTCCATTGATCTTTTAGAGAGAATGGAAGGGGAAAGGGCGGCAAGATAGAGGGAGAGACACATTGATTGGCTGCCTCCTGAACTCGCCCCAGAGCCTGCAACTGAAGTATGCAGCCTTACCCGAATCGAACCTGAGACCCTTCAGTCCAGGGGTGGACGCTCTGTCCACTGAGCCAAACCGGCAAGGGCTAAAAGGCACTTTTTAACATACATATATCTTTTTCTGAGTTGCCAGTTTAGTACTTTTTACCTAGGCATTGTGATAGGTGTATCAACATTTATGACATCCTTTGGAGGATACTATAGTTCTCTGTATTGCCCTTATTTAAGCACTTTATGATTTTTCCTCTAAAAATTTGTGCATTTTAATTTGACATTGTGGCTTCAGCTTAGAATATTACCTTCATCCCCACAGAGTTAATTATTAAATTTGGTTTTATAAACCACTTGTTCAGTTTAAATGATATATAATAGCTGCCATTTATTGAGCATTTACTATGTGCATGCAGCTCATTATTCCTTACAACTTCTTTTGTTGTTGTTGTTGTTAATTCTCACCCGAGGATATTTTTCCATTGACTTTTAGAGAGAGGGAAAGGCAGAGAGAAACATCGATGTAAGAGAAACACATCTATTGGTTGCCTCCTGCACAAGCCCCTACCAGGGCCTGGGCGGGGTAGGGGCCTGCAACCAAGGTATGTGCATTGACCAGAATCGAACCTGGGACCCTTTGGTCCACAGGCCGACACTCTATCCATTGAGCCAAATCGGCTAGGGCTACAATTATTATCTGAGGTTGCTGCTATTAATTCCTTTTTGGCAGGCATAGAAGCTGGGTTTAAGAGATTGATTCAGCTGCTTAATGCCCAAGATTATATAGTTACTAGAGGCCCAGTGCACAAAAATTTGTGCACTCGGCGGGGGGGAGGGGGGTCCCTCAGCCCCGCCTGTGCCCTCTCGCAGTCTGGGACCCCTCGGGAGATAATGACCTGCTGGCTTAGGCCTGCTCCCGAGTGGCAGAGGGCAGGATCAATCCCTAGGTGCAGCCCCTGGTCGGGCTCAGAGCAGGGCTGATTGGGGAGTTGGGGCGCAGCCCCCGGTCATGCACAGAGCAGGGAGATTGTGAGATTGTGATGCCACCCTCAGTCATGATCAGGGTAGGGCTGATTGGGCGGTTGGGGCACTCCCCACTGTCACACTAAGGGCAGGGCCAATGGGGAAGTTGCGGCTCCACCCTGTC